ACGTTAATATCGCCTTAATAGACCGAATCTTACACAGGTATAACTTGTTTTATCCTGTCAGGAATAAACTACCTGAAACAATGGCGGAATTATGCTTACGCATCTTTGCCGATCACGGCTACCCGGTATACTTATGTCATGATAACGGCGGCGAGTTTATAGGCGATATAATGATGGCTTTTAAACTCGTATCTGGCATATGTGAAAAACGGGGAATTCTATATAAGCCACAAACGCAATACAACCTCTTATAGAAGGGGTACCTGAAAAGTTACAGTCAATAAAGTGGCTAGAACGTTTAGACAGAGTACACAAGGTCGTATACCCCGTACTTAAAGATAAGCGAAATACTGCGCTTTCAAAAGCGCAGGGTCGCTGGTCTCAAAAGAAGAAACAAGTTATCTTCAAGAAAGGTTATTATGATAACATAATCCAGAAAAAATCGGATACTGGTAAGTTATACTCTTTCTCTGTTCATGACGAAAAGCCTGATACATATGAGATTTATAATGTAGATGGTACAAGCGCACTTAATGTGGGCTTATCTCGTATACCGAGTGACCAAATAATACTCTGTCGTACATACGATGATACTACACCCCTTGAACAACATGAGTTCAAGAAAATAACAGGTATGGAATCCGTTAACGGAATTACCTAAATTTATATTTTTTTTCAGACAATGAGGTTAATAACCTTACGTCTTCAGGTTTTGGTAATCCTGATTACTTGAAAAGTATCAATAGGAAATGACGTAAGCGCCTGCATAAAAACCAGGAAGATAAAGGCAAGCTCTTTCCTCAAGCAGATAAGATTGCTACGCACTCTTATCCTGGACTTGGGTTCTGATCTTCTCTTTATAGAGATAAACTTCCAAAGTCTATGACACGTAAGCGTGTACACCAACAAACGTGTGGAACTAGGAATACCAAGCGAACAAGGGTGGACTCACTTACGTGAGGAGTATTTACATACTATAGTATTTTAGAATACTATAAGTATTTACATACCTTATCATCTTAGGTTTTACACCGCACCTGCTTCCCTTCTCGCTCTTTCTCCACGATGGTACCTAGGCAGTACTATATTCTATGGCCTAGAGCTGGCGGGGGTCTATGATATCATAGCAGGTCTTAGAGTAAAATTCATATATGAGATATTACTATCTAATTAAGCTACTAAACCTAGCATTGTCTTACGTAAAGGTTTTACTATGTATTATTGCTAATACATGAATTACATATAATTTGAGTTATACATAATAGTTTTCCTACATAAAATACTATACGAGATGGCTCATAGTATAAAGGTTGAAGGTTATTTAGGTTTACTCTTTTAGAAGATAAACTAAGGTGTTTACAAACTAATAATTAATAAACTTAGTTTTTACAAACTAAATTTTTTTATTTATCAATATCACCAACCTCATGCCGACCCCTAGGGCCTTACCACACCAACCTGGGGACGGACTGTCTATTTTTTATTTTTTTTTATTTTTATTTTTTCTTCTCCTGACTAAGGCCTTGTGGCGCAATGTGCATTTAGGACATTGTAGTGTGCGCCCGATAGATGGGTCACGTCTACGATTTTCGTATCTGTCGTCTCTTGCGTGACGATCCTCTCGCCCGGAGCTATGAGAGTCGTTTCGGGTAATACCATCCCGATCGCGTGATGGTGAACGTCGCCGCTTGTTGTGTGTATATTGCTCATTCATCCCCTGTGAATTGTTATACGGCGAAAAAGGGCCGTGGTGTGCGTTGGGCTGGGGTCACACTTGACATGTATGTTTTAGGGTCGCTACTCGGGCCGGGCCCAAGTAGTCGTACTTGTCTAATTGTGCCGTTGTCTGATGCTGCGGAAAAGCTATACTGATAAATAAACGGCCCACCGCGCAAAAGACATACAATGCTATGGTAAGCATTCCTATGCCAGTGTTGTAGATGCGCTACAGCGCTGGCTTATATCGGACCGCAGTAGTAATAGCGAGTAGCAACGCTTGTGCATTGAACTTTCTTGCTTAGCAGCATCCTGACAGATATCCATCTCGATAAATTGCCACCAATATGGCGGTGGCGACTGTCGGGGTTTCGATACCCGATCCGACATGCGGCGCTGGACCGGCGTGATTGTAGAATCGTTCAACACAAGACTACCACCGTGGTCCTGGTATCGTGGCAAGAGTACTCCTTTAATAGAATACATTTGGTCCGTCGGGAACCACAGAGTGAGTGACCTGACGTATATATAGATGTATATAGATTGGTCAGCCGCTGTCGGTCTCCACCGGGCAACGACACTGTAGGAAAAGGATTTTAGGGTTTAGATTATGCGTACTTCCAGGAAGGTGGCGATAATCTCGAAAAATTATTTCCTGTGAATGCGGGTCTCACGCTCATGGCTCACCAGTTGGGCACTTCTGTGCCGTCATAGACTCTAAAGATGACAGGTATCGACGGACCAAACCCAAATCGGGAAGTAGTGTGTCTGCCAGTGGGTGGTTGTCGAGTAGAATCTGTTTGCGGTCATCTTCCTGTTTGTACGCAAAAAGTGCTTTCTCCTCGTCGGCCGCTCTCGTGGTAGGTTGTGGTCTGTTGACCGCAAACTCTACGGGGTGCCTGCTCACTCGCTGCGATAGAAATATTTCTCTCAAGTCTTGCGTGTTGCCTCCGCGTACTCTCCCCGATGCTCGTGCCGGCCGCATTGCATTCACATAGGGTCGATTGGCCTCCGTCAACTTGATATAATGTTCCACGAACGTCTCCCTCCGATTCCAATTGTCGGTGCTGGAACGGCGCCGAGTTTCACTTTCGCTCTCCTGATCGCTCTTCTCCTCCTGCTGCTGGGTCCGCGAAGTTCTCCTGCGGCGACCCTGGTCTGCTTCCCGAATGGTGTCCTGATCGAGCCTAGTAGCATTTCCAGTGTTCAACTCCTGGTGACCACAGTTGCCTCTGCGCCTGCTTACACCACGGCGGGTAACCACTTCCTGATGCTTCGTCTGTTGGTGGAACGGTTGGGGTGCCGGTGGTATCGGCAGATCCATAGGGCGACCTAAGCCATTAGCCTCATTCGCCGCCTCTAATAGACTGACATGAGAGTAATACAGAGTCCACCTGGTAATAATGGACGTTGTCACGTACTGTGACATCTCATTCAGCATTACTAGTCACAACCGCGCCCCTCCCATGGTGTTGTGGTTCATACTGCGCGCTTGGCTATGTAAATCCGTTGAAAGTACTGAGTGAAACATATGAGTTGCCGGACCAAATGCTCCATAATGATCTGTTCCACATCCGTAACACTAGGGTCGTCTGACAAGTTAATATACACCAGTGCTGACCTATACACTTGTACATGTGTACCAGCTGCGCTTCATTAAGCGTCGTGCGGTGATTATACCCTCTTATCTTGGTGAATTGGGGTAAAGTTTTCATTGCAAGCCATTTTGTCATCCAGACTCCGATTGGTGTGAACTTATCCCGTTGTACACAGGAAGGTAGAAACTATTCGAATCAGACATCGTGTCGTACTTTGTAGTTCGCTCAGATATCAAACCTCGTTGATTTCGTCGCTTTGGCATGAGCTAGTTTAGTTGTAGTCCGTGCAGTACGCTACGGTTTATTCGACTATAGGAAATCTAAACTAGATAAAGCTCAACCCTGAGTGACCTAGTAGCGTAAGACAAAATCCTAATGTACACAAGTCTGTTCTGGTAATAGGAGAAACTCAGAAGAATATGAATCGATGTATAATTAATATTATTATACCAGCAAGTCCAGCGACCATATAAGGACTGATAAAAATTTATCCTTAGCACTAGGTACAGGACCGTATGGCGAAACGCTTAGGACAAGTGTCATATCCCGTACTACAACTACAAGGATGGCCTTAAAACCTAGTGTATTAAACAACATCCAGATCGGTTCCTCTCACCCATCTCGATAGAGCATACGCAAAGAAAACACCATAGCACCTAAACATAAACGAGACCACACAACCGAAAGTATCGCTTCCTCTACCTCTCGCACCCGAATTCCAGTCAACATTGAAAGCCAAGCACCGATACCGAGCAACTCACGAACCCTGATCCTTCCATTGGGGACACAATCTACATGTGATCGATACCGACAGAGACAGCCGCAAGAAGGAAATGAACGACGGAGCAACCACCGACAAAGCTGCCGCCGACAAAGCTGCTCACGACAAAGCTGCCGCCGACAAAGGACGATCTCTCAGCTGTCCATCGCTCCTGAAGGAAGAAATCGCGACCAGCCACAAACGCTACGCCGATCTCAACAATCGGTACGATCTACAGGCGAGCCAGATCCAGCTACTGGCAACCAATCAAGTATCAACGACTACTCCCAAGACGAAGGAAGAGATGAAAAGGGAACTCTGCGAGTGCCAACCTCGCAACCCCAACAAATTCAAGGAGAAAACAAAATCAGGTATATCATTCTCGCTTTATGACACTAAACAAGCACTTCGTGTCAGCAAGACAGGCCCAAAACTGAACAACGTTCCGATCCAGGAAGGCAGCAACCTTACTTTTAAATAAAGTAAAGAGACATTCAAGACCTTCACAGACGTGTTCAGCATCGATCTCCAACGTGGTCCACCTTATTAATCTTCGCCCAGATCTTGTGACGTTCGAGGCCATCGCAAATGATAGTCACTACCAATGGCACCTATGCGAGCTTCAACACGGACGACCCCTGAAGTGCTCGCAAATAGACAACTACAAAGACCACACTCGTCTGAGTCAGGTCAACAGTGACAAGCTCGCAGGGAGTGTTGGCACCAGCACCTTTAATCACAACAGCGCCTACTGCATGCAATGCAAGTGCGAGGGATCATACTGCATCGGCTATACGCAGATATCAACCACGACCTTAAATCGTCGAGGCGACCGCAATCAAGACCGCAACGGTCGCAACACAAACGGAGCAAACGACCGCATATCTATCCCCAATATTGAAAAGTGTAATCTTTGGAACCTGGGTGTTTGCAAGCGCTATCCATATCGCTACCGCCACGAATGCAACATCCATGACTGCGAAACTCCCACGAATGCAACGTCCATGACTGCAAAACTCCAAAGAGCACAATGCTAAGAACACAATGGGAATCAGTCGACATACTGCGGCGAGATCAATATTCTCCGTTCTATCCAGCACGCACCTGTACCCACTACAGTACTAGATATGAGAAAAATAAAGAAAGCCCCCTCAGGCTATGATTTAACTAAAACTAACAAACTCTTTCATATAGTATCCCACGGCGCTCCAATTGGATACACAGGAAACCCTAATACGCGCACATTCCACGACAACCTTAGATCCTACACAACTGATTGCAATCTCGCACACGAGAAACTACAATCACAACTCCAAAATGGCACCGTCATCGGAGGCTTCACCCAAGAAGCATGCACACGAGATCTACCGTACATACATTGCGGCCTGCAGGGCAGTGCGATAAACTACGACAGGAAGGCAACAAGCCCTGACGTGTGAGCGATCACTCATACCCTAAATAGTCTGATATAAATATCAACGCTCAGTTTACAAAACAATCACTCATATATGTGAAGATACTTGTCGTGATACAGAACCTCAGCGATGCACCGCACGGCTGCACACTCAATTTGATTAATATCGAAAACGCATTCCACACGATGACCCTCGACAGAGAGGATGTACTCCTACATGCACTCTAGCATTCTGACGGTCTCATTTATTTCGACCGTGCTGTAGTTTCGACAGTGAGAATTCCACAGCCAACTACGACCACCTAGGCCGTGCGCTCAACTGGGTCATATCCAACGCAGGACACATAGCCTGGAAATCGTCGATGACTATCTCGCTCGCCACGAATCCTTATTCAAGAAAGTAACTAATTTGCAGCCAACCTAAAGTGGAATGAATAGGCATCCTCTAGAACATGATCGACAAGACAATAAGCATCACACAAACCAAACGTGAGAAGTACGCGGCCCTACTGTTTGACTGGAATGCAAAAGCCAGGGCATCATACCACGACATCGCTTCAATGAGTGGCAAACTCATCTGGCTATCAGCTATATACCCTGCAGGACACCCATTTATGCAACGCATGTACTAGCACCTACCACTCAAGGGACGCCCACACTATCAACGTCGCATACCCCAGGAAATACGCGACGACATGCATACATGGTACAAAATACTAAATAGTTGAAAGGGCAGCTCGCTTATGACACGACCACTGTACCCCTTTCCGCCGTGAGGGGTGGGGGGAGGGGGGGGGGGACAGCGTTACATTCGGAATGTCACGCGATAACATTCCTTGAACAATTGGCCATCGTATATCTCGCTGGCCTCTTCGCCCACAAATTCGCAGGCTATACCGTGACAGTGATGTCCGACAACACAGGCTCAATCGCAAACATCGCCACACGAACATCGAACGGACCAGAAATGCTCGTTTTCTTACATCTCCTAGCGGAGATCAAAATCAACGCACGACTTCACCATCGTCGCAAAACATGTACCAGACGCACACAACGTGGTCGCTGATCACATACGTAGGGACTATACGCACTTCGCACGAATTACACAACCAAATCTGCACGCACACTGTACACCCATTACTGTTATCATCGCAGATTATGAATCCCACCTACGATCCACAGCACATCACTATTACACCAAGATCGAGCGGAAATTAATTTTCTCTCTACGACATCGTTGTTTTAGCGGAAATCGTAAATTTAGTAGACTCTATCCAGAGGGCAATTGTTGTTGCATCCCGATTATACTAAGTATGCCACATCCAAAAACTTGCGCTGGGCAGTCAACTGCAAAGCATGGAATATAAGTGAAACCAATTTATTAACATGTTTATAAAGCGTTCAATCGGAGAAATGTACACGTATAGGTCAATTTCGGTTCAGAAGAGATGCCTTTCTAGATACTGTATTGAACATTTCAAATCAATCGAATGCGCTGTTACACACGTACAATTTTGAATACAACATCCAATACCGATGAAAAAAATAAGTAGAATGTCGCAAGGGTTGGCAATGCAATGTATCACATCAAAACACTCCGTGCTGGCTGGCTGGGGAAGGGTGGTTCATATCGCGAGTCTAGATGCACAGGAAGATACAGACGATTTCTTTGTTCTTATGACCCCTAATGCTCTACAAAGGAATGAGTCGAGATTAGATCATCAGACTGTCCATTAGAACACTTTTATCGCATTAGTACTCTCAAAGAAAGTTACATAAAGGCAACAGGCGAGGGGTTACACTTGGATTTACAGAAGGTGATGTTCGCACAGGATATGTGCCTTCGACAATTGGGGTGTTGGCGTGGTTGCCATGGAAACTGAGTTTGATACCACGGAAGGCAGTGTGTGTGTGTGGGACTCTAGATATACCGTGCAATGAGAGGAACTGGGTCCGAGAGCGCGGATCAAGCCTACTAAATGCGCCATTGAGCACGCGTTTGATCTCATGGCTTTTCAGTTCTCTACAAACGAATGAATTGAGATTAGTCCAGGCCTTGCAATCACACGATAATCTCCTATGAATTGGCCGATATCCCAGCTGCAAAAAATGCGGTCAGTGCAGGCGCTATGAGCAATTTAGATACGAAAGATGACTCTGTAGGCTTCTGATACGCCGAAGACAACCCGAGTAAGCAATGTAGTGATCAATCTGAGTAAGAATTGCAGTGCACACGAGAAACTGATGAGTTGGATTATATTTAACACAGCCAAATATATTACGAACGTTAATAATTATGGAATATCAGGATACAGGTGCTATGTACATATTTGGGCGCGATGGATGACTTTGTCGACAGGTGACACGTTGAAGGTAAACCGTGCATTTTTCCACGGCAGAATCTGAGTTGGTATTATAGTACTAGTCATGTCGGCACTCGGACGTTATGGTAAAGACTGGTCCCATTGGATGCGACGACAGTCTGGTTCTTTGCTAAAGAGATACTGAGCAAATTTCTGTGTCAAGACTGAGTCCGACTAGCATACCTTAGATTCTAAAGCGATAGGTCATTATGTACATAGTAGATTACACAGCAAGCACAATTCTGTGCATATTGTCAAGGCCAACGGTAGTAGTGAATTGGGTGCATAGCAGCCAACTGGGGGTGTCGCATTATTTAGTTGCGCTTGGTTTTCCTGTAACAGATCACGCCAAAGATTTGCTGAGCGCAGCCGTGGACCACGCAGGGAAAAGCTGAAATAGATAGATTTCAAGTGGTGTTGCACGAATATGGAGTCCGTCAACATCGGGATATGTGATGCCACCTAGAACCTTGCAATGAGAAAAAGAATATTAGCCCTCCGCTATGAACAAGTGAGTAGATCACTTCTTAGTATCACTTAGGGCCGAGTTGGGTGATACTGTGATACAAATAATTGGTGCATGCCAGGAGATTTGGTATATGTTTCAGCAGGTTGAAGTCAGGGCAATGGAATCAAAACGTTAAACATTAAATGGTATTCTGAAATATCGTTCGTTCTTCGAGCACCCCACCTTGTTGAGACTCGATCATTCTGGCTCTGAGGTCGAAATTGGTTACAATTGATACTACTGATGACGGTCCGCATATCAGTACCTATACACACGTATATATATATATATATATATATATATATATATATATATATATATATAATACACACACACCCACACACATATATATATATATACATACTTACATACACACACACACATATATATATATATACATATATATATATAAAATATATATGTATATATACATATATATATAAATATATTTATAGATATAGATATAGATACATATATATATATAGATAGATACATATATAGATAGATGTAAAGATATATAGATATGTAAATAAATACTATTCTATAAATGTTGATGAGCTGCGATGCCTAGGTATTGAAGTCGATTCTCTGCGACGGTAGTGACCACATAGGGCAAGATTGCCTTCGAAGTTTTGGTCATAGTTTTCTAAGTGTTTATAGCATTAGATTTGTAAGTGGTCATAGTTTTTAAGTGGGCGTGCTTCCGTACTTGATAGATTTGCCCCGTGAGCACACAATGAGAGTTCTCAAAAATGACTCATATGCGGTTTTAGCGCACAGAAACCTATGAATCAAAGGAGTCCATGTTCTGCATTTGTGCCCTCGACTCGGTTGTCGCTGCTGTGTTGAAGTGGATCTGAACCACTGTTAAGCAAAAAGCATCCTCATACAGGCAGATTATTGCTTACCCAATCTACAAGTAAGTCCGAAGCTGTTGAAAGCTTCGTAAATAGACATTTACGTATTCAATAGAAGCATGAGCCTATAGTCAAAAGGTTTACGTATCATAAACATGCCGTGTGGATATATATATCTGTATTGCTAGCTTTATTTCCCAAAAGCCAGGATGTTATTATCTACTATAATTTCCTCTAATATCCCACCTGCCTTGTTGAGGATTATAACAGCTCCACACAGACGAGCACATCTGGGTAAGAAGCCCTTGTAGAACGCGGCAGCACCTTCCTCTTTCCACAGTACCTTTGCAGCCGCCCACGGCCCTTTGTAAACCTAAAGCGAGTACAAGTGTAGTACAAGTATGAGATAAGATAAGTAAGGGAATATATTTTATATACAGGACGACTAGGCGATAAAATTTAACAATTCTATTTGTATTTTATGTCCGAGATATGCTACGTGCTACGCTCTTCAGTGCGTAAGAGACTATACGAGAGCGCAGTACGAATAGAAAAATTCAGGGGGAATACGCGAAACACGTGTGCGTAAGTTCGAGCAAATCATACGCGAAACACGTGTATAATTTCAAACAAAACGAACAGACTCGTGGACCACAACAAGCTGTTAGTTGATACTGTATCAATGCGGCTAACAAAATTTGGTGTACGTGACGATAGAAGGACATTGTGCTTATCTAATTAGACACAATTGCACGCGTATGTACGTAGTCTTCCAAAACAATTTAGATACTGATAGAACGATCGTTGCATACGTACCTCTCGGGCTATATCACTCTGCAGTCGAGTCTTCACAGTGTCGAGAGGGTGCGTCAATACACCCGCGACAAGACCGGCCGCACAACCACCAGCTAATAACGCTAGTCCATCGTTTTCCTTAAGCAATGGGAAGTTATCTTGCAAGCTTGCCTGTATTTGTGTGATGAGTAGAATGAGTTTACGCTATACTTGCAGACTCAAATTTTCTCACTTGTTGATAATTTAGGAACATGTACCCGATGCAAAGGAAAATTGCCAGCAAGCTTGTTTGTATTTGTGTAAAAAGAATTTTGAAAGCCTGAACTTCCACATAATAATTAAATACGTTCTACATGAGCAACGGGAAATACTCTTGCAAGATTTGTCTGCGGTTGGGTACAAGAACATAAAACACTACGCAAGGGCCTGTAGTGTGCATTCTACAAATTATTCCAGGATGGGGTTGCTCCACATTAATTCGAGAATAGATATATAGTGAGTCCACGGCAAACGTAACTAACCCGGTGTTCTCGGACAGACGAGAATACCAACCAAACATCTCAACAAGAACACGTCAAGTTAAGTTTTGAACACGTTCATACCTTAGCGATAGGTCCCAACCCCAAGTATCCGGCCGTAAACAGCGCCTCACGTCCTGCGGTCATAGGGAAACCTCTGTATAGTCGCGCAGCACCGAATTTGCCTGCCACCTCTGTGAATTGTTTGCCCAGGGCAAACCCGGTTTTCTGTTGCTGGATTACCAATAATTCTGCTGGGCTGCTCATGAGTGCCGATAAAGCACCAGCGGAAGCTGCACATCCTATTTTCTGACAGGAAGTTAATTCACCTCTGTGTAGAATATAGGAGTATGCAACAGAGTTACAGATCGGATTTTTGAAAGGAAGCCAATTTTCCACTGATTTTTGGTAAACACAAAATTGACTGGCGTTCATTCATCACTATATGTTATAAGTAGTATTCAACTGAGAGAAAGTATGCCAAGATCCGATTTTCTGACCCGAAGTTAATTCATCAAAGTGCGGAGTGAAGGGGTATTTATATATAATTAAAGGTAGAGATTTGATGCGACGACCTGAAGGTAGCTCACCATATACGAGGGCTCAACAGAAGTGAGATGGGTGTTATATGATGGTAGGGACAAGGTACATAAGTACATTCGCACGATGCAACCTTGTTTCAAATAATAGATTTACATCACTGTCATCGGGTGGATATGTCAGAAATGCTTGATGAGAAAACTCCTATGGCATAACATCTAACTAAGGAGTTTTTGAAATGGAAATGAATCAGACTTTGCTATCCTGACGCCACGATGGTATTGAATAGCAGCTACAATATATCCCAAGTACAATTGATCACTCACGTAGGTGGAGCATATACGTATTGTCGCAAGTAGCATTCGTATACAGATTATCACAGGTATAATTCATTTACAGATTATCGCAGGTATAATTGGCCAGAATTCGCCTAGAATTCAGCATTGCACAGTTTGCAGAATTCCACCAACAGAGCTTTGATAACACGATGGCAAACGTTGGTATGTGTTCGCTCACTCACACATAATGTGCATCTCGTGACTCATTCATCACAAAGGATGACGACAATATTACCAAAAGATAGTAAACAAATGTGCATACCGATTATCCCCCGTACGCAGTAAACACAAAAGTTGGCAACATATATACAAAACCAGTGAAACGCAGCAATAGCCTACAGCATCACGATATAAATATGTACATCAAACTACTTGTGCTGACATCGGATGGACAACCCGATAAATACATACGATGTACTATGCCATACATTATGTGCTATTAAACTGGGAACTGATTCGCCCACTTTGGCTCCACATACTTTGCTTTCAGTAGATCCGAGAAGAACTGCATGGCACCGAACTGCATAGCTGTGATAGGGGCCATACTGACCACGTTTATACCTACCCCTCGGTACATTTCCTTCGGACTGAAAGGGAGCGGTCGCCTATCTATGAGTTGTAGCAAACCAATCATATTTTTCATCAGCTACCGTGTTGGCAGTGTACATGCTATACAAGAGCTAAGAATACGATTTAGGTATGGGTGAGGTCATTGAAGCTAACTTGGAGTAAAAAATACCGGATCGTTAACACATCAGTCGTTTCCAATAAATTTTAGTAATACCAAACCCACACACACATATAATTGTCTATTTTCCCAGCCGAGGTATAGTACGGTAGAACAACTCTGAATTTAAACCATAAGTAGCCTTTTGGTTTGTTTGGCGATGATCAAGCAGCACAGGAATATAGAAAGGAGCAAACAACAGAAAACGGCACAAAGCGCTTGCGAACTGCTGTTCTTGAGGTGTTCCAGGAGTCATTCCGTTCTATCAATATAGAAAGCCGGATCAAAAAGTACATTAGAAAGTACATCTTAAGGTAACATATCTGACGAAACAAATATACTCATTGAATCTACAGACTACTAAATTTTGTTACCAGCAGAAAGTTTGAGACTACACTGTAGAATGCTCCATCGTCAACAAATCATTTGCATATATATATATAAATATATTTATATATTCGTATTCATGCACGGATACAAAGATAGCAACATTCACATGAACGTATATATATTATGAATATGA